AATGTGAAGGGAGTGAAGGGAGGCCTGTGTAGGGCAAGCTAGAATAAGGAAAATGGCCCGTGAGATAGAACAGGAAAGCCACAGCCTCATAACTTTTGCAGTCAGTATGCTCAGTGCTGGGTTGTTCTAAACAGTCAGAACAACCTTGCACCATAGACTTCGTGGCACCATGGAAAAGGATAGGGGGCCAATTGGAAACTGTGCGTCCCTGTACCACATAGGTCAGGAGCAATGCAGTGACTGGTCAATCTAGAATCCTTACTCTGCATATGGAAAGACCCATCAGGAAAAGGGAACAAATGGGAACACTTTCCTCTGCTGTGTCTCTTATCACCATTGGATCTTTGAAAAAAAAAAAAAAACATACACTGGGGAAAAGAATCCCTATTCAATAAACGGTGCTGGGAGAACTGGACAACCACATGTAAAAGACTGAAACTGGACCTGCTCCTCTCACAACTTATAAAAATTGATTCAATATGGATAAAAGATTTAAATCTAATACACAAACTATAAAAATCTTAAAAGAAAGTGTGGGCAAACTTCTTGAAGATATTGGCCTGGGAAAATATTTTATGGCAAAGACTTCAGTGGCCATAACAACAACAACAATAAACAAATGGGACTTAATCAAGCTGAAATGCCTCTGCACAGCTGAAGACACAACAGTTAGAGCAAATAGACAATCTTTAGAATGGAAAAAGATACTTCCAGGTTAGAATCTGACAAAGGGTCAATAACTAGAATCTCTAAAGAATTCAAATTAAGTAATAACAACAAAAAAGAACAAACAATCCCATCTACCACTGGGCAAGAGACATGAATAGAAACTTCTCTGAGGAAAATAGATGATTGGCTAACAGATGTATAAGTGCTCATAGTCTCTGATAATCAGAAAAATGCAAATGAAAACCACTCTGAGATATCACCCAACCCCAGTGAGAATGACTCACATGGCAATCTCAAAGCTGCAGATGCCAGCGTGAAGGTGGAGAGAAGGGAACACTTTTACATTGTTGGTGGGACTGAAACTAATACAGCCTCTTTGGAAAGAAGTATGGAGAATCCTCAAAGAACTCACACTAGATCTCCCATTTAACCTTGCAATCCCATTACTGGGCATCTATCTACCCAGAAGGAAAAAAAAATCATTTTATCATAAAGACATATGCAGTAGATTGTTTATCACAGCTCAATGTATAATTGCCAAGATGTGGAAACAACCTAAATGCCCACCAACCCAGGAATGGATTAATAAGCTCTGGTATATGTATACCATGGAATACTATCCAGCCATTTAAAAAGATGGAAACTTTACATCTTTGTACTAACCCACGTGGAGTTGAAACATACTTATCTTAGTAAAGTATTACAAGAATAGAAAAGCAAATATCCCATATACTCAATGTGAAGGCTGTAGACTAACAATACATGCCTACATCAGAGAAAAACTCAATTCAATTCAATTGAAGGAGGAGGAATGAGAGAGGGGGTAAAGGGAGGAGAGAGGGGATTGATGGGCATAATTTAAGGGTATTGGCACAACTTTGCATGCAGGACACAGCTGCAAAAAGGACTCTACCTAAAAAGAGCAATACTGTAAACTCATTGCTTGTACCCTCATATTAAACAGAAGTAAAATATATATATGTGTGTGTGTATAATTTGTAATTGAAAAAACACCTAGACATCCATTACATATGTCCTTGTGAGAGGGCTACATTCCAAGACTGCTCCTCTTGTGGGACAGACTCTTCTTCAAGTTTGAAGCCTAATTCATGAGACAGGCATGGTATAGTTGGTTTTATTAGGAAAAAGAAAAAAAATGTGATTTGTACTTCTAAAAGCAATGTTTCAAGTGGTTATTTCTATCTTGTTATATAGCATAGAAAGGTGAGGCTCAAAGATGTCAAGACATTTGCTCCAAATTCCGTGGCTAGACATGATAGAGCTAGGATTCAAATTCAGAGTTCTCTAACCCAGAAATCATGGTCTTTCTAATAAGTTAGATGAAGCAGTTTGTGTAAATGGAATATCAGGAGTTTTATATGATCCCACTTAACAAATGAATCATAGAGACATCTCGAAGGATTCAAAATCTCAAACAAACCACAGCAGAAATACATTTTATCTTAATTTTTAATTTCAGGAGAAAAGTGTGTACATGCATGTATGAATGTATCTGTCTACATTTACATACACTTATAAAGGTACTTAAGAAAAATTCTAACCTATTTAAAAATTTTAAGTTATAAAACTTAAATTTTTAAAAATTCAAATAGATATATACTTTATAGCTCTTTTATGTTTAAAGATACTTATGTTAAGAATAAAGTGAACAAATCTCCAGTTAGAGAATTTTTCTTATGTAGAGCTTCTTGCCTATGATATGGTGTGTAGAATATGAAGGAACAAATGGAAGTACCGGTTTGAATCATGACTTTATTGCTAATTAGCCATGTGAACTTTTGCAAATCTCTCTTAACATTCCTGTACATCAATTTTCTCATCTGTGAGATTAGAGAAAATATATCTAATTCCTAGGCTGCAGTGAGAATAAGTGAGATTGCATAGCCCCTTTTTTCCTCATGACTACTTCTTAATATTTGAAAATTTTCTAATTTGAACAAAAGATGCTCCTTTTATTTGAGGAAAATAATTTTATCATTATGAAAATGATTTAACAATTATTGAAGAGTTTTATGTTAATTAATAATAGTTATAGAAGTCAGAATAATTTCTGTTGTGCTTCAGTTACAAGCCTGAAATCTCAATTGTCAAACACAATGCCATTGTTTTCCTCCATGAAAGATAGTTTCATTGGAGGCAGGCAAAAGCTGAGGACAGAGGAGACTGTCCCACAACCTCGCTGGGGACACACTGTGTCCACTTTGTAGCCTCACTGTGCAGACCTTATAGCTTCCTTAGACATGGAGACCAGGAAGCAGATGGGCAGTAGGTCTGAGATCAGCAATTAGCTCCACAGCCGAGAAGTGACATGTGCCATTTCCCCTCACAGCGGAGTGGCCAGAATTAGTCATTTGATCTTAGCAATTCACAGAAGGGTGGGAAGTGTAGTTTTCATATGCCCAGAGGAAGAGGAGCCGGATATGGATGACCCTCAGAAATACCTTACAGAGTGTCACAGACTCAGCTGAGGGTCCGACAGCCCTGTCTTAAATGTCATTTGCTTTTGAGAAGCAATTTCATTGTTCTCAAAGAAATTAGCATATGCAGAGTTTGCACACTCACCAATATTACTCAATTTTCTGTGTTTTCTTCAAATACATATCTGAAATGATATAATTCTTATAATAAGTATTTGGTAGTCCCAAAAGAATGGTGTTCTCTGATAAAATAGACTTGACACTATTTGTACATTTTTCTTTCCTCACAAATCATCCTTGAACATTTTAGGATATCTTATAAAGAAACCAACAAAACCAAAAATTAAAAAAGAAACTTCTCCTTTTATTCCTTTGTCCTACATGTGTGTAAATGTAGAAAAATTTCTTCTGTGGATAGAGTTACATAAATAGCTCTGTTATCTGCTTGTAGTCACAGTGACAACCTTTCAGAGTTTTCCGTCCAAGCCTTTTTTTTATTACTATTTTTATTGTTAAATCATGTTTGTGCACATTAATACTATCATGGGGTACAGTGTGTAGTTTACATATACAATTTGAAATAGTTTCATCCAGTTGGCCAACATAGCCTTCATGTCATTCTCATAGTTGTTGTGTTAAGATATTTATAATCCACATTAAGAAATATTCACATGTACCCTTATAAGATAAATCATAGGCATGATCTCTGCAATCCCCCTCCCTTCACCCATCCTACCCCCCTCTCCTCCCCTCTCTCTCCCCTTTCCCTGTATTCTTGGACAAAAATTGGGTTATAGCTTTCCTATGATGGCTAGCAGTTAGTTTCATAATAGGGTTGAGTACATTGGATACTTTTTATTCCATTCTTGAGATACTTTACTAAGAAGAATTCTTCCATTCTTGACATACTTTACTAAGAAGAATATTTTCCAATTACATCCATGTAAACATGAAGGAGGTAAAGTCTCCATCTTTCTTTATGGCTGCATAGTATTCCATGGTGTATATATACCACAATTTATTGATCCATTCATGGGTCGATGGGCACTTGGGCTTCTTCCATGACCTAGCAATTGTGAATTGGGCTTCAGTGAATATTCTGGTACAAATGTCTGTATTGTAGAGTGATTTTTGGTCTTCTTGATATGTACCTAGCAGAGGAATTATAGGATAAAATGGCAGATCTATATTTAGATCTCTACGTGTTCTCCAGATGACTTTCCAAAAGGGATGTATTAGTTTGCATTCTCACCAGCAGTGTAGAAGTGTTCCCTTTTCTCCACAACCCCACCACCATCTTTTTTGAATTTTGTGATATAGGCTAATCTTGCTGGTGTTAGATGATATCTCAAAGTAGTTTTGATTTGCATTTCTCTGATGATTAAGGGTGGTGAGCATTTTTTCATATATCTGTAGACCATGTGCCATGTGTCTGTCTTGTTCACAGAAGTTTCTCTTTCAGTCCCTTGCCCACCCTGAGATGGGATCACTTGTTCTCTTCTTGCTAATATGTTTGAGTTCTCTGTGGATTCTGGTTATTAAACCTTTGTTGAAACATAACCAGCAAATATCTTTTCCCATTCTGAGGGCTGTCTGCTTGCTTTTCTTTCTTTCTTTTTTTTTTTTTTTACATTCCACATTTTATTTACATTTTAAGACTAACTTTAATCTCAAAATCACATCTCCATACACCTATTTCCTTTTTGTTGACTTCACTTAAACTTAAATGCATGGTTTGTTAAACAAAGACTGTAAACAAATATTCACCATGTCTGTTACATGTAACACACAGGAACAGCTTTTAACAGAAACTTATCAACCCCCCCCAACATTTTATTATAAATACAAGTTTCAAAATAATCCTGAACATATCTTTCATACTACTAATAGTCAGCACCCACACCGCTTCAAAAATTAACACAATTTGCGACAATATTCATTATACCTGCTACTTTAAACAATTTCAACTGCAGCTCTTTCACTAAGCAAGATGGATAAAGCATGCTATTTCTGCTTTTCCTTCTTGAGATTTTTACTTTTCAGAAACACACATGCTTCCACTGACATCTGACACCCCTCTTCACACTTTCATCTTGTAAACCTGAATTCTATTTTGAGTATATTCCAGGTTTATGTTTAAATGATAGTGCCTTAACAAGAGAAAAAAATGTGCTGCATTTTTCCTCTTGTTACCTGAAAACATACTGGGTGTACATATATTAAATATATTCTTACAAATGTCCAGGTCATGTTTACCAGGTGAAATTCCTTTACTTAACATGTGGGTATTTTGCACTGTGATATTTAATCAAGACATTAACATGAGTAAAAGGTTGTTGATTTAAGACAAGTTTGAGATCCACTAAAATTAATTGTTGTATGTTTGTCCTTCTGGTGGCTGTGGAAGCTTCATATTTTCTTTGGACATCATTAGATGTCTTAGCTCTTGAAGTACAACTTTAATGCTATATGAATTTTGCTAAAACTGGTATACTACGTGCATCCACCATCCCACTGGAATTATTTATTCCATTCATATTAATTTTCGTTACAAATCTAACTGATGTAGGAGCTTCTGGGTATTTAGGTCCACATTCTACTTTCAAGCTATATATTCTGTTTTCATAATTTGTCTGTGGAGACCGCCATCTTATCCTGCAGGCCGATGCCCTACTTGCTTTTCTTACTGTGTTCTTGGTTGTGCAGAAGCTTTTTAATTTGAGGAGGTCCCAGTAGTGTATTTTTGATGTTGCTTCAATTGCCTGGGGGTCCTTCTCATAAAATATTCGCCCAGGCCAACTTCTTCAAGAGTTTTCCTTACACTTTCTTCTAGTGCTTTTATAGTTTTATGTCTTAAATTTAAATCTTTAATCCAGTGATAGTCTATCTTAGTTAGTGGTGACAGGTGTGGGTCCAGTTTCAGTCTTCTTCAGGTCGCCAGCCAGTTCGTCCAATGCCATTTGTTAAATAGGGATTCTTTTAAAAACACTCAATGTTTTTAATTAGCTTGTCAAAGATCTTATAGTGGTAAGTAGCTGGGTTCATCTCTTGGATCTCTATTCTGTTCCATACATCTACCTCTCTGTTTTTGTGCCAATACCATGCTGTTTTGATCACAATGGATTTATAGTATAGTCTGATGTCTGGTAGTGTGATTCCTCCTGCTTTGTTTTTGTTTCTGAGTAATGTCTTGGCTATTTGAGGTTTTTTTCTGATTCCATATAAAATGAAGTATTATTTTTTTGAGATCTTTAAAGACATGGACTTCAATAGGGATTGCATTAAAATTATATATTGCTTTAGGTCGTATAGACATTTTAACAATGTTAATTTTTCCCAGTCTTGAGCAAAGTATGTTTTTTCATTTGTTAGCATTTTCAACTATTTCTTTTCTTAGAGTTTCATAATTCTCCTTATAGAGATCTTTCACGTCCTTTGTTAGGTAAACTCCCAAATATTTCATCTTCTTTGGCACTACTGTGAATGGAACAGAGTTCTTAACTGTCTTTTCAGCTTGACTATTGTTGATATATATAACTGATTTATGGATGTTGATTTTGTAACCTGAGATGCTGTTGTATTCCTTGATCACTTCTAAGAGTTTTGTAGTACAGTCCCTGGTGTTTTCCAACTATACAATCATGTCATCTGCAAAGAGTGAAAGTTTGATCTCTTCTGATCCTATGTGAATACCCATGATTACCTTTTCTTCCCTAATTGCAATGGCTAAAACTTCCATTACAATGTTAAAGAGTAATAGGGACAATGGGCAATCTTGCCTGGTTCCTGATCTGAGTGGAAATTATTTCAATTTAACTCCATTCAATACAATTTTTTGGTTGTGGGTTTGCTGTAGATGGCCTCTATCAATTTGAGAAAAGTCCCTTCTATGACAATTCTCTTAAGTGTTCTAATCATGAATGGATGCTGGATATTGTCAAAAGCTTTTTCTGCGTCAATTGAGAGGATCATATGGTCTTTATTTTTTAATTTATTTATGTGATAAATTACTTTTATAGATTTATGTATGTTGAACCATCCTTAAGATCCTGGAATAAAACCCACTTGGTCATACTATATAATTTGTTTGATGTGTTGTTGGATTCTGTTTTTAGGATTTTGTTGAATATTTTTGAATCAATATTCATTAGAGATATTCATCTGTAATTTTCTTTTCTTGTTGGGTCTTTTCCTGATTTGGGGATCAAGGTGATGTTTACTTCATAGAATGTGTTGGGTGGTATTCTTTCTTTTTCTATATTTTGGAAAAGGTTAAGTAGTATACGTATTAGTTCCTCTTTAAAAGTTTGGTAGAATTCTGATGTGAAGCCATCTGGTCCTGGGCTTTTTTTTTAGGGAGATTTTGTATATTTGATGCTATTTCAGAGCACGATATAGGCCTGTTCAACATTTCCATTTTGTTCTGATTAAGTCTTGGAAGGTGGCATGCTTCCAAGTATTGGTCAATTTCCTTCAGATTTTCATATTTCTGAGAGTAAAGGTTCTTGTAGTATTCATGGAGGATTTCTTGAATTTCTGAGGGGTCTGTTGTAATTTTGCCTTTACCTTTTCTGATTGATTAAATTAGATATTTAACTATTTTTTTCTTGGTTAGGTTGGCCATGACTTATCTATTTTGTTGACCTTTTCAAAAAACCAAATTTTTGATTTGTCAGTCTGCTGTATAATTCTTTTGTTTTCAATTTCATTTAATTCTGCTCTAATTTTGGTTATTTCTTTTTTTCTGCTAGGTTTCGGATTGGAGAGTTCTTCTTTTTCCAGTTGCTTGAGATGTCCCATTAAGTTATTAACTTCTTCTCTTTCCATTTTCTTGAGGAAGGCTTGCAATGCTATAAATTTTGCTCTTAGGACTGCCTTTGCAATATCCCAGAGGTTCTGACAACTCGTCTCTTCATTGTTGTTTCGTTCCAAGAATTTGGTAATTTCCTTCTTGATCTCATCTCTGACCCAACTATCATTAAGCATAAGGTTATTTAGCTTCCACAGTTTTGTTTGGGTGCAGATCTCTGTTGTTGCTGAGTTCAACTTTTATTCCATGGTGGTCTGAGAAGATGCAAGGGATAATTTCTATTCTTTAAAATTTGCGGAGGTTAGACTTGTGACCTAAGATGTGGTCTATTTTGGAGTATGTTCCATGGGCTGATGAGTAAAATGAGTAATCAGTTTTATTAGAGTGAAATGTTCTATAGATGTTCGTTAAATCCAAATGCTGAATGGTTAGGTTTAGATCTAAAATTTCTTTGCCTAGCTTCTTGTTGGAGGATCTATCCAGAACTTCCAAGGGAGTATTAAAATCTCCAACTATGATGGAGATGGGAGTAATCAGGTTGCTCATGTCCGTTAGAGTGTCTCTTATAAATTGAGGTGCATTCTGGTTGGGTGTGTAAATATCGATAATTGAAATCTCATTGTATTGAGAATTACCCTTAATAAATATAAAGTAACCATCCTTATTCTTGCTCACTTTTATTGGTTTAAAGCCTATTGTATCTGTGAATAAAATTGAAATACCTTCTTTTTTCTGTTTTTCATTAGCCTGGAATATAGTTGACCATCCCTTTACCCTGAGTCTATGCTTGTCTTTCAAAGTAAGATGAGGTTCTTGTATGCAACAGATATCTGGCCTGAGTTTTTGTATCCAGTCTGCCAGCCTGTGCCTCTTTAGAGGGCAATTTAAGTCATTCACATTGATTGAGAATATTGATAAGCCTGGTATAATTTTGGGTATTGAATGTTTTGAAAGTCCAGTGGGCATCTTTAATCCTTTTGTCACTGTGGAGATTGGAATTTAATCAAAATTTTCTTGGTGGGTTTATTTATGTGGTGGAGGATTGCCCTGATCATTATGAAGGATAGGTCTGAGAATGTTCTGGAGAGCTGGTTTAGTTATGACAAATTTCTTCAACATGTGAATGTCATTAGAGTATTTAATTTCTCCATCGTAAATGAAACTCAGTTTAGCTGGATACAGGATTCTGGGTTGAAAGTTATTATTATTATTTTTTTTTTTTGAGGAGATTGAAAGTCAATGATCACCCTCTTCTTGCCTGAAAGGTTTCAGCAGAGAGATCTGTAGTCAATCTAGTATTAGTATTCTTCCCCTTGTAAGTTTAAGGTTTTCTTGCATCTAGCCGCTTTCAGAATTTTCTCTTTCATATTAATTTTAGTGAAGTTGATTATAATGTGCCTGGGGGATGTCTTGTTGGGGTTGAGTGGTGCAGGGTTCTGAAGCTGTCTGCTATCTGAATTTCATGATCTCTTAGCATGTCTGGAAAGTTCTCTTTCATAATTTCATGAAGAAGAGCCTCTGTGTTTTGTGAGACAACTTCGTCTCCTTCAGGGATTCCTATAAGGCAAATACTAGTTTTCTTCAAATTATCCCAGAGCTCTCTGAGTGAGTGACCTGTTTTTGTTCTCCATTTGTCATGATCTTTGGATGTTTGGGCTCATTCAAAATCTTTGTCTTCAGTGTCTGAGATCCTCTCTTCTGCCTTGTCCATTCTCTGAATGAGGGCTTCAACTGTACTTTTCAGATCTTTGAGGGCTGCAACCTCTTGCTTCAGTATGTTGTAATCTTTGATCATTTTATCTTTGAAATCACTGAATTCTTGAGACTGCTTTTGAAGAATTTGCTATTCTAGTTCTCTCCTTTCCTCCATTCTGTTGATCTCATTCACTATCCAGATTCTGAACTCAATTTTTGACATCTCAGATATCTGTATGTGGAAGGAATCTTCAATTGCATTTGCCCCGTCCTTCCTTGGGGGAGGGGGTTGATCTGCTCTTGTTGTTCTGGTTACCAGAGTTTTTCCGCTGATTCTGTCCCATGCTGAATTTTCCCCTTTCCAAGATCGTCCCTAAAACTGTTCTGCTGGTGGCTTCTCGTAGGTGCACTGCCAAGCCCCAGGGAAGAGGGGATGGCAGCGGCTTGAGCAGCCAGAGGGTGGGGCTCAGTCCTGGCTGTTAGCTGCCAAGCCCCCGGGAAGTGGGGACTGCAGCTGAGCAAACAGCCAGTGGGCAGGATTCAGTTCTGGACACTTGGGTAGTGATCTCCCAGAAAGTGGAATGGCGGCCAGGGAGACAGCCAGGCACAGAATGTGCTGGCTGGGAGGATGGGTCCGCAGAGCAAGCATTGTTCAAGCAGTTCTCTTAGTGCAGGACCGGGGCAGGGGCTTGGTCCCACGTGGGTGGGGGGACGCTGTTCTTGGGTCTTTTCTCACTGTCTCTGCTGGTAAGGGGGGAGAGGGTGGACTGGAAACTCAAAATGGCAGTGTGCACTGCCAGTTCCACTTTTCTGCCTGAGAAAGGGTGTTTGGAGTCTCAGCAGGGTCCCTCCAGGGAATAGACCCCCGTATGGGTGGCTCTCACTTGTGGAGTGAGATAATAAGTCCTCAGTTTATCATTCACCTGTAGGAGACTCAGGGGAGCAGTTGAAGAGAAAACAAAGGAAAAGTACAACTTTCTTGGGGGAGGGGATGAACACTTTTCCTTTGGGGTGTATTATGTACCTGTAGATTGCCTTCTAGAGTCGCAGCTTGCCTCTGCAGAGGTGTCCTGCTGGTATCACTCTTCTCTCTCGGCTAGGCTCCCAGTCTTTGACTTTGTTGGGTGTTTTCTGGACTTTATTCTTTCTTCTGGACAGGAGCTTCTGTTGGAGGCTGGTATCTGTTGG